ACTTAACTACAACAAATATCACATACTTTAACACTTTTACTCAAGTTATATTCCTAAAGGACACTTTAACTTTTACCAAAGTCAGTTTTTGGTAATAAAATACTTGTACTTTTACTCAAGTATCACTTTGTAGTACTTTATACCACACTGCTCACGACCCCAACTTTGGGAACTCCTGCTGTAAATCCTCTCAAGAGGTAAATTAACCTAAAAGTGTTTGGACACAAACAGCTCACTTCATGTCTTTTATCATGTTAACTGAATCAGTGTCCAACTTCAGCCGATGTTAACAACGTTCACGAGTTCAGCAGGAAAAAAAAAGCTATAAAATGTTGACATTGTGAGGAGAAAGTGTGGAAAAAGAAGAATGTTAGAGATCACATGAACAAGCCTGAGGTTGGTTTTCTGAGCAGATCAGACTAAACTGGAGCTGATTGAATCAAATGATAAACATCTTGTTTTGAACAACGTGACCCTGACGACATTTAAAGCAGGGTTAGAAAGAAGCTTAGAAAAGCTAAAACCCAACAGAGACGTTTTAAACTCCTGGACAAAACAATATGTGAGGTTTTAAAATGAAATAAGTTCATTTATTCGTTTCATTTCATTAAAAAAATGCTCCATTATTGTTGAACAGATCAGCTGCTGACAGGGACCAGATTAATGTTTCTTTAAGTTCAAACAAGACAAAGTTTCTCTTCTATTCCACCAAAAGGGTTTATTATATTAGCCTGCAGCAGTAACAGAAGCTTAGAACACTACAAAAAATAAAAAAACACTACAGTCTGCTCTGAACTGACCAAACATCATAACTCACGTCAGCAGAGAAAAAACAAATTTGAACACAACTTAAAAAGGAACAACATCAACCTAAACAACAAAAACAAAAGTTACAGTCCAAGTCAAACGAGACATTTTAGTGCGCGACAATTTCTGTACCTGAAAATAAATAAACATGCTCAACATGTGCCCAACAAATACCCTTTAACAAGTTAAATATTCAAGCTTTCTCATGCAAACATGTCTCGTGTCAACAGCTTCAGAACAGAAAGGCTTGTTAACGAGCTGCTAAAGATAAATGTTAATTATCAGTAATTAATCAGTTCAGAGGAAAAACTGGAGGCGTTTGAACAGGTGGAGTTTAGACTGAAAACATCTGAAGCAGCTTTCATCTTTTTACACAAGATATTCAAATCAGCTGCAGCTAGGAAGAATTTAATAATAATAATAATAAT